GCGCTCTTATTTCACTAAAGACAAACTAATGTCAGCACATGTTGCTAATGATGGTGAATTTTTTTTAATAAAAAGTTTACAGGTCAAATGTGAAATAAATATGAACTAAATGGTTCTGTTTGTTATCTGAGTTTCGAAAGCTTTGAGGCTCTGGGAACATCTGATTTTATATATATATATATATATATATATATATATATACACACACACATACATATATATGTATGTATATATATAAATTAAATAGTACATTACATTATAAAACACTTTTGAAAGTGCCAGCAATAACAAGGATACCATTTACTAAGTGTTTCTTATGTCCTGGGCACTATGATGAGCCCATCATGGGCTCTGCTTCATTTACTCTCCCCGCAAAACCTATGAGGTAGATACTATTTTTATCTCCATTTTACAGGTGAAGAAACTGAGTCTCAGGGTGCAAGTGCTTTGCTCAAGGTTAACAAGTGGTGGAGATGCATCATACCCGGCTTTATCAGGTTCCAGGGTCTGTACTCTTAACCTCAGAGCCTTGCCAAAATTACATTGACACTATAGAATGCTCCCAGCAGTGAAGTCTCTGCCTAAAGTGTGCTATATACACAAAGTATGGGATGTAGCCCAAGTGTGTGGATACACACAAAATGTTACATACTGCAAAGTGTCTGTATGCCCTAAAGTGTGTATATACCTCAAAGCATGGGTATACCTTAAAGTGTGGAATATACTTCAAAATGTATATCACACCTTACAGTGTGATAATATGCAACATGTGTCCCAACATGTGGGCCCTCTGTGTATGGCCCAGAGTGTGGCATGTGCACAAAGTGTAGTATAAACACCGAAAAAAAAACCCCATATATTGGTTGGTGGCTTGAACTGTCTCTGGCCAAAGGCACGGATCCTTCCTATTGTGTTTCTGTAGTATTGAGTTCCACTCTGCTGTCTAGGAGGGCTTAAGATCCTCACCCTACGGTTCTGGTTATGTGACTTTGAAGCTGGAAGGGCTTTTAGAGATTCAGGAACCCAACCCCTCGTCTTCAAAGAGGAAGTGACTTGCTCAGGGTCTCACAGTTCCGGGTGACAGATCTCTGCACCCAGGCTGCCTCATTCAGATAGGAACAGCCGAGCAGTGTGGAGTGGTTCTGTGCATATGTATAATCAGATGAGGCGCTGATGGAGAGCCACTCATGGACGAGCTCGTCTGAGGCAGTCAGGGGACAGGTCACGGTTTAGGAGGGTAGAGTTGTAAGGCCAGCCACCTCTCACACATGTGCACACAAGGGCAAGGGTGTGTGTGCAGGGGTGGGAGAGCAGAGAGCTCTGGGAAGTGATCTGGGCCCTGAGGGGCCTGGGAGAGGGAAAACAGTGGTTCTGAGGGGTCTTTGTTAGAGGGGGGAAGTTCCTGCCATCACCAGGCCTTCTGAGCTGCAGAGAGAAGAGTGGGCAGGCCCTTGGCTCCTTGCCCAGGGGCTTCATAAGCCATGGCCTTTGGCAACAAGGCTGGCTGCCTGGTCTGGAGCTGGATCCTGCTCCCCACCCCCACTCAGCCTGTCTCTTCCCTACCACCCCCCCCCCCCAACTCCAGGGCACCTATCGCCCCAAAGGCAAACAATGCCAGACAATAGGCCACCCTGGCAGGCCCTCAGGAACTGGGCTGTGTGTCCCAGACAAAGGGACAGATATAAACACTGCTGCTGTTGACTGTCTATTCTGCTGTTTGCCCTGCTCTCACCCCTAGGTGCCCTGCTCCCTGGTAAAAGGGGAAGTGTGAGCAATAGTGCCACGCAGTGCAGGCCTCTGGTGTCACCCCACATCCTCATTCCAGCGGCAGAGAAGCCTCCAAGATGGATGGGGCTGGGGAAAATAGGGGAAACAGGGCTTGGATGCTGGGGTTTTGAGTTCCTGATGGACATCCCTGCTTGCTCACCGCAGAGGGCTCAAGCAACAGTCTGCAGAGGTCTGGGGTGGGGAGGGGATCTGAGGAGGTGAAAGGGCTCCTCACAGAGATCTTAGCCGAAAGATCAGGAGATGACTCACCCCACAGCTTTCTGTCTGCATCTGATCCTGACTATCTGGGCCCAGAGAATCTGTCTTCGCGGCCACATCTCCTATTTTATGTAACTTTGGTTGAGGTATCAAAACCCACTGGCTTTTGGATCTGAAGTCTGTCTTGCCAGATTTACTCCTGTGAGGTGCCTTGAGTTGGGGAAGGGTAGTGCCCTGTGTGAGCCTGGACACAAACACAGCCTTCTCCCCCCAAGGCTTTGTTCATGGTCAGTTTCTGCTACGCTAACAGGCTGGAGGAGAGAATGGGAAGCGCTTGGGCTCTCCCTCTCTGTGAGTCTATAATCGAATCAGAGTTTGAGAGCCAGAAATGTCCTCCTACGTCTTCAGCCCCCACGTTGTGCTGTTCAGGGACCTGAGACCCTGACAAGCTGATCGACAGTGTGACATCACAGTCCCTCCAGCAGATCCTCCCGGCTCTCTGTCCGATCACAGATATTCAACACGAATTCTTTTCTGTGGTTCGATAAGGGAGTTGCTGATAAACCCCAGACACCCCTCTGTGCCTGCTGTGTGCTGAGCAGCACGCCAGGCACCGCAGGGCGGTTCTCTTCTTTCCATGCATGGGTCCTGCAGAGCCTGGCACTTGTCTCTGTGGGAGGCAGTGGAAATTAGGGTCTTCCCTGCACTCTAGAAGCCTTAAGGCCATGTGGGGAGACGGGAAGTGCCTGCAGGAAGCATCAAGTAGCCATTCAGCAGTGACAGTGTGGTGGGGGGCAGTGGATATGCGTGCCCACCAAGGGCATTGGGCATCTATCTGTCTGTGCCAGGTGTGTGCAGCGAGGGAGAGGACGCTGTGGCTGGGAGCTCAGGGGGTTGGATGTGGGAGGCAGGGTGTCAGGACTTTGGCTGAGTGAGGAGGGGCGTGAGCTCCTGTCCCTAGTTGAGTATACCTGTCAGGAAGCCTGCCTCCCCACCTCAAGGAGAGTAGCTGGATCCCAGTCTCCAGGCCCCTGCCCTTGCCGGAGTCAGCAGCCCATATCAGGCGTGGCGGTCAGGCCTCTGCCCTGGGCCCCGCCACCCCTCACAGTGGACCTGGGAGTCTGGGATGAAGGAAGGGGAGTCTTCCGCAGCACGGGGTGTGCCTGGGAGGGAGGCCATGTGAAGGCACCAAGCACAATCACAAACACCAGGGTTTGTTTTGAAAATAACATTGATCTCTTTGATTCCCAGAAATCCTGGGGTTTAGAGTACAAAAATGGAACAGAGTCTGTTGGAAGGAACCTGGACCTGAGCATTAGGAGGCCTGGGTTCTAGTCCCACCTTTGCCTTTTACTAGTGGTGTGACCTGTGACCTTGGGCAGAGCCCTTTCTGAGCCCCTGTTTCTTCACTTTTTTTTTTTCATTTATAAAATGAAGAAGGTTGGTCTAGGTCAGTGTTACTTAAACGTGTGTTCCATGGAGTTTATGTAACTACAAAATCAATCTCAATCTCTCCCCCTCTTTTTCCCTTCCTCTCTCACATATTTACCATCCGTCTCTCTGTCCATCTGTCTGTCTATCAACTATCAGTGAAATACTGGGTTACGTGACCTTTAGCAGGAAGCTTTTCTTCAGGTCCTGTCAGAGCCTCGGGATTCTCTGAGAGGAGATCATATGGTGGGTTGTGTTTCGCAAACTCCCTGGACTGCAGAATTCTATTTTTCAAAGAGCAGCTCAGTGAATCATGTTCACTGGAACACTTGTTGGGTACTGTTAGCCTAAGAAATCACACTGGGCTTTTCTGTTGATCTCTTTTAAGATTCTAGAAAATGCTGGCTTTACTTTTTCTGTCCTGCTTTTAGGTGAGGCACACGGGGCCGGGGGCAAGCCATAGGTTTTCCTTGGGGATGCTGGGGACTCTAAGAGTTGTGAGCCTCACTGAGGCTTGGGGTGGAAGTGAGAGTTTGGTGTGAATCTCAAATGTGGGCTCTACCTCTGTGTATGTGTGCCCATGTGAGTTGTGTGTGTGTGCACACAGTGTGAATGGCTGTGTGTCCATGTGTGAGAGTGTACATGAATGTATTTGTGTGTGCACGTGTCTCTGTGTGCAAACAGGTTAAAAACCTCTTTCACAGGGATATTTTGCTCACCAGGACCTGGGGTGGAAGCATCGGGGGAGTTGAGGACAAACGTGTATGTACTGGAAGAAGAGGTCACACAGAGAATTAAAGGGGAGTGTAGTGTGTCATCGATTCTGATAACAATTAGCCCCTCTCCAACTTGTGATTTGTCTCCTCCTCCTCACCGCCCCCCCCCCCCCATGCTGGAATGTGGATTCCCTACCAGGGTAATGGAGCTGAGCTAGAAGGAGGACGGGATGATGGAATGTGGACGTTAAAAAAATTTTTTTTTAATGTTTATTTATTTTTGAGAGAGAGAGAGAGATAGAGAGAGAGAGTGTGAGTGTGCAAGTAGGGCAGGGGCAGAGAGGGGTGGAGGGTGGGGACAGAGGATCCAAAGCAGGCTTTGTCCTGACAATAGTGAGCCTGATATGGGGCTCGAATTCGGGAACTGGGAGGTCATGACCCGAACCTGGAGTCGGACGCTCAACCGACTGAGCCACCCAGATGTCCCGGACTGTGGACATTTGGGAGAAGCCAACACTGGTTCTCTAGCAGGTGTTCTTTAATTTTTTTAATTAATTTTTAAAAGTTTTTACATTTGAGAGAGAGAGCATGCACGCATGTGCGCAGCCACCTGAGTGGGGTAGGGGAAAGAAAGGAGAGAGAGAGAGAGAGAGAGAGAGAGAGAGAGAATCCTAAGCAGGTTCCTTGCTGTCATTGCACAGCCCCAGGGGGCGGGGGGCGGGGCTTGATCTCCCGAAGAAGCGCGAGATCATGAGATCACGATGCGGAGCTGAAATCGAAAGTCCCACGCTTAACTTCTTGAGCCACCCGGGCGGCCCTCTACCAGCTGCCTTTTTTTTTTTTTTTTTTTTTTTAGCAGCCGGGCTCTCCTGTTCTCCGTGGAAGGGGGAATTTATTTCATTACGGGGAGTTTTGGAGGGTGTGGGAGGCCAAGCTGGAGTGGGCTTTAAGAAGCTCTTTCCAGCTGTTCAAAGGCAGGAACTTGGGGCTTCTTTGGCATCTATATCTGAGCTAAACAAGATGGCGCACAGAGAAGGTGAGTAAAGAGAGATTGAAAGGGGACTATTTACAAGGTGCAGGCAAGGGGAATCCACAAGCGGTGCTGAAGGACCTTGGGAGGGCACAGTGGGAGCTGTTAGCACCCTCTATCCAAAGGGGTGAGGGGAGGGAGATGTTACCAAAACCATTAGAACCGCAGTTCTGGGGCCCCCCGTCCCCCGCAGCCATGGTCAAAGCTTGTCTGGACGGGGTGGGGGAACCCCGAGAATCAGTACCTTCCCCGCTCTCACTCCCACACCCGAATGGCTGCCCTTAGCCGCAACACAGAGAGCACGGAAGAAAGGGTAAGGGAGCGGCTCCTGGGGACAGCTTTCAAGGGCTTGGAAGAGGGTGGACGACGGCAGGGGCTGTAGCCAGAGGGGAAAATCAGGAATAGCTAGTGTAGGACCCGACACCTGAGAACGGCCAAGTGCCACCACTTTGGGGAACAGACTGGAGGGAGGCCAGCTGCTTGGTTCCTTCAGTGTGGCCGTGGGCTAGCAGCTTGGGTCACTGAGCGGCTCTAGAAGAAGAACACAGGTCCTCTTTCCATCCACTCTGTGTTGGGGTTGTTACGAATATGACAGAGTGTGTATGCATACAGACACCCAGACGTATGTGCGCGCCTGCACACACACACACACACACACACACACACACACACACACCATCCTCCTGGCCTGCTGGTGAGTCAGGTGAGAGACGGCCCTAGGGAACCCGAGGAGCTGGCTGTTGACCAGATTTCTCTAGGCTCTCCTCATGTCTGTGACTTGGTCCCCACATAGGAGGCCAAGAAGCAGACTCTGAGCTGCCCAGCAGTGGCGAGCCATGAGGCAGGGCCTGGTGGGGAGGGGTCGGTGGTCACACCTGTCCGTGGGGTACACTAGGGATTCTGTGGGTCTTTACTCAGCACCTGTGAGTACCCCATAGCCTTCCTTCTTGGAAGATACTCACTGAGCGATTCTTTTTTATGCCCTGGCCTCAGAGAAGGCACGGAGTTTTAGTGAATGATAGATTCCTTTCTTCATTCATTCACGTATTTATTTAACAACTCTGTTTGGGAGCTGTCCCCAGACTAGTCTCACTGATCTTGCTCTGTTTGCGCTCAGTGCTGTGGTGAACAGGATGAGGGGCTTTGCTCTGCCAGACTTCTTTAGGGAGGAGACAGATATAAGCGGGCAGCAGGGAGTGGTTAAGGAGGGTGATGGGGTTGGGGGGTGCAGTGGGCAGTGGGACCTCACTGCCAGGGGGCCCGGCCTGGGCTAAGGCATCAGAGGAGGGTCCCTGGAGAAGTGACAGCAGGATGAGAACGGAGGAATGGGCAAGAATGGGTCTGGCAAAGATGGTGGGGGTGAGAGGGGAAGCCTCGTATGTTCCAGCTACTAGACAAAGTCCACTTTGGTGGGACTGGGTGTGAGAGGCCGAAAGGCGAGTGGAGAAGCGGGAGAGGGCAGGGCCCCTCATACAGCCACCTGGAAAGATTTGTCCTGAGGTCAGTGGGGGGCCACTGGAGGGATTTTAGGGAGAAGAGCACAATCAGATTTTGTTTTAAAATGTTGATTTATTTCTGAGAGAGCGTGAGTGGGGGAGGGGCAGAGAGAGAGTGGAGACAGGATCCAAAGTGGACTATGAGCTGTCAGCACAGAGCCCGATGCAGGGCTCGAACTCACAAACCGTGAGATCATGACCTGAGCCAAAGTTGGACACTTAACTGACTGAGCCACCCAGGAGCCTCCAGATTTTTTGTTTGTTTGGAACGATCATTCTGACTGCACCTGGAGGCTAGTGGGGGGGAGCCGGGCAGTAACCCAGAGGTGACAGTGACCTGACCAGGGTGCTGACAGGACACTCGGGAAGCCAGGGCTCCTGCCTCCCCCACGGTTGCCCAAAGGCAGTGCCAGCCTCTGTGCAGACCAAGATACTGGGATTTCAGAGGGACCCTTGCTTGTGAAGTACACCTCCGATCCCCCCACTCCCATCGTGGATTTCTCTGTCTTTAGAGAGTGGTTCCTGGGCTCAGAGCGTCCTGCTCACGGTTCCGTGAAATCACCCCTCTGAGGGTGAACTTAGTCGCCTCTGTGCTGTGTAGAGGCCTCGTCTCTGGCTGGCTGGCTGTGAGGCCTCGTCTGCACCCTCCCGTTTCTGAACCTCGGCTGCCTGGTGCGTACCACAGGCCAGGGAGGAACGCACGCAGGCCGTGTGCACTGCCCAGCTGCCGAAGCCTAGGTTGTAATGTGAGCTCCGATGAGGGCCGGCAGGCATCCGGCACCCCAGGGATTCTGCTCGGAGTCCAGATAAAGCCCCAACACTGGGGCTGGCCCTGCTGGCTGCTGGGCCTGGCTTGTCCAGGCGTCTCCGGGAGAAAAGCCTTCTGTTTGCAAGGAGTTTGGGGAGCTTGTGATTCGACCCCCCCTGTCTGCTCTGCCTGCCCCAAGAACTCCCAGCTACAAACTCACTGCTCCTGGGGGGGGGGTCTTTTTCCTAGATCTTCCACTTCTTTGTTTGCTTGAAACCCAGTGCTTATACTTTCAACATTTCCTTGCTTGGGAGGGATCTGTCTCTCTCAGGAGTTCCCAGGGAGGGTGCCAGGTCTTGGTGGGAATGGGCTGGTGTCCCTGAGAAGGGCATTTTATTTTTATTTTTATTTTATTTTATTTTTTAAGTTTATGTATTTATTTTGAGAGAGAGCACACGTGTGCACCAGTGGGGGAGGGGCAGAGAGAGAGTACGAGAGAGCATCCTGAGCAGACTCTGTGTGGACAGATCGACACAAGGCTCCATCCCACAAACCGTGAGATCATGACCTAAGCCGAAATCAAGAGTTGGAAGCTTAACCGACTGACCCACCCAGGTGCCCCGGGAAGAGCATTTTAAAGGTAAGACTCTGGAGTTGGAAAGATGTGATTCCGATCCTGGTTCCATCACAGTAGCTTTGATTGGAACCCCGCAGAGACCATTGAGCCTCTTTTTTTTTTTTATTGTAACCTGGAGATCATGGTTGCTGGTGTTTGGGTGGGTTACCCAGGTCAGTGCCTGGCAGAGGCTGGAGGCTCGTGCGTGCCAGCCTTTCCCACTTCAGTGGGAGCTGGAGGCTTGTTCTTGGCTCGTGAAGCCGCTCTGGGCTGGGCCGTGCAGCGCTGGCCAGTTTGGAGGCGGCGGGGGGGAGGGGGGGGTCGGCGAGCACCCTGCACTTAGAGCCACTGTTTTAGGGTGACTTGTGACAAAGATTTGACCTCTCAGGCTCTTAACTCTCTCTTTCCAGCCTTCAGTAGAGCAAGAAAGTGGGACCGGATGAACTCTGAGGACCACGCGAGACCCATGATGACCACAAAGGTCTGTAGCGAGGCGGCCCCGAAAGCAAGGTCTCCCTGCTCCCCTTGTTGTACCGCAGGTGAGTTTTACTGTCTCCTGATTCTGACACTCTTGTTTCTGCCTCCATAACTGCTCAGGCGATTCTCCACGTAGAACGCCCCGCACACTCTCCCCCTGGCTGCTTCTCAAAATCATACCCAAACTTGAAAGCCAAGCTACGCCACAACTTTCTAATTTTAATAGAGGAAAGAGCCTGAGGTTTGGCATCAATTTTTCCAGGGCTTATACCTTGGGTCTGAGTCCCTGCCGACTTCCCTCCTTGTCCCCGAAGGTGGCAGATGCCCACATGGGGCTGCATGGTGAGGGGCTCCGTGTGCTGCAGAGAGGGGCTTCCCACCTCCTCCTCCAGGCACTGCGGGAGGAGCTTTTCACCTCTCTTTCTACTCGTTCAAATGGTTTTGGAGCCAAGGGTTTGTGTCTTCACAACTCTACTGTGCCCGCTTCGGAGGGAACTCTTGGTCAGAAGAGCTTCAGGTGTAAAGCAAGAGGAGAACGTGAGAAACGCAGACATTTTGCTTTTGGAAAGAAGACATCTCCCCTTCCAGCACTCCCCACCCGCCTCCCCCCTTGCCTGCATGGTCTCCCAAGGTCTCCGGCAGCTGGGAAAGAGGAGCTTGGTTGTTGGTGTTAGATGGACATGGCTAGCACCGTAGCTCCATTCCTGGCTGTCTCTGTGACCTTGGACAGGGTGTTTCATTTTCCAGGGTTTCAGTGTCCTTCTCTGAAAAAGGGGTAAGACATTACCTGTTTCCACAGTGTCATGGCTGCAGGGCTGTCATGTCGTATCCACATGTTTATCATGTTTTATCCCTGAGAGTGTGAGTTCCACCAGGCGAAGGACTTGGTTTCTTGCTGAGTCCCAAGCTCTTCCAGCCCATAGTTGGTGTCCAATAGACCTTTGTCAGATGGATGAGTGAATGACACTTAATGTGATGGGGTGCGTCAAGGCCGTAGGTGGGACCATCGGGCACCATGCTGACACACGGAATGGTGGGTGCAGAGGTGAATACATCGTGTCAGGAATGAAATAGGCACACCCTCTGTGTGACCCTCCCCTCATAGGCATGCCTGCTGGGTAGGATGGAGTGGATTATGTTCTTGGAGAGTAGGGGCAACCGTCTTTTGGGGAAGAGCCTGTCTCCAGCTTGATGAAGTTCTCTCTCCTAAAGGTCGTTAAGCAGAGGTGGATCTGGTAAAAGGGTTCCTTCTCTGGGCTAAGGCTGAATCAACTGCCATCTTTGGGTTTTCTGACCTCCCAAGAGCTGCAGTTCTGCTTGGTGCCTGAAATGACTAGAGAATGAAGGCAGGTATGCCAGGGTGTGTGGACAGACCTGAAGGGTGTATGTAGACTCTGGGGCCTGAGGGTCATGGAGGGACCTCCAGAGAGAACACCTTTGTGCAGAGCCTTGTGGGAGGGAGGTGTGTGTGTATATATATGGCGTATGCTATATAGATATAAGTATATATGGTATATGGTATATGGTATATATGATATATATACATCTCGTATGACAGTGGGATAAGTAATTGGGGATGTGGAAAGGGTTTCAGCTTTTAAACCCAGAGAGATGATATATTTAGTCAGGGTTCTCCAGAGAAACAGAAACAACAGGATGTGTGCATGTATACGTTTTTCGCGCTATATCATCTCTCTCTCTTCTTTCTCTCTCTCTCTGTTTTATCTCTCTCTTTCTCCATATGTATGTATGTATGAATGTATTTATGCATGTATGTATCATCATTTATCATATGGATTTATTTTAGAGAATTGGCTGACACATTTGTGGAGGCTGGCAATTCCAAAATTTGCAGGGTAGGCTGGCGGGCTGGAAGCCCCAGGAAGAGATGTAGTTTGAGTCCAAAGGTAGTCTGCTGGTAGAATTCCCTCTTGCTTGGGGGAGGCCAGTCTTTCTCTATTGAGGCCCTCAACTGACTGGGTGAGGCCCACCACATTATGGAAGGCTAACTGCTTTACTCAAAGTCTACTGATCTAAATGTTAATCTCATCTAAAAATGCCTTCACAGAAACATCTTGAGCAATGTTTGACCAGGTATCTGGGGCTAGCCAGATAGCCAAGTTGACCGTCATAAAATTAACCATCACAGATGGGTTCAAAACAAAACTCAGATCTAGAAGTTTGTACTCAGAGCAATGAAGTTGGGGGAGGGGCAGGTGTTCCTGTGCCAGCTGTTAGCCCATGTATGAAAGGTGGTTTCAGCTCAGTCAGTAAGACTGGCCCTGACTCAATGCGGAAGGACAAGAAAGGGGTTAGAAGTAATCAGTTTATGCGATTCAGTGTTTCACAGTCACATTCATGGCGATCCCCTGTGTGTACAAGAGCACACCCCAGCCTTTATTTTGCTCTCTGGATGACTCAACTCCATGCTACTCCCTGTGGAGACTGTGAGGGGAGAGCCTCAAAGTCAGGGGCACTTTGTGCATGCGTGAGTAGCCACTTCTGGGTTACTATTATGTGGCTTGGACCTGGCAGGGTTTGGGCCTTCTGATCACTCTCACTGATCTTCACGCAGCCCTGGGATGAACTCACTGTTCATGGTATTGGTCCTGAAACACTCACTGCAATTCACCTGCCCAACACTGTCATGTCTTACTCTTGGCTGTCCAGGTGACCAATGTGGTCACTCGTTTTCTCATTTTTAAATTTGTTTTGTTTTGGATTTGGCACATGCTGTTGTCTTCTGAGCCTTGGATGTTCTTGATAATGTTGATGATGATGATACTTGCTCAGTAATGGTGATGACTGCTCTCTGTGTCAGCAACGCATAAGAGAACGTCTTGGACGTGCCTCTCTGACCCGGTCCCTAGGAGGGTGACAGGCATGACTCATACTCTGCTGATCACAGCTTTGCAGATGAGCCCTGCACGGCCCTCATGGGGGAGGACCATGGTAACAGTGGAGGCGGGCAGTAGATACAGGGTACTCTTTGCTAGGTATCACCTCCAAGTTCTTTATGGGGTTGGGTACTTTGTTTGACCTTCTTCGTATCCCCAGCTTTCCCAGCACACTCCCAGGAATCTCTCTACACTGGAGCAGAGAGAACAAAGGTGATGGTTTCTATTTGTAGCTCACCAAGGTCATGTGTATGATGATGTCAACATGTGAAAATTGATCTATTTATTATAAATCCTGTGGTGAACATTTGTGGTTTGCCTCCCCAGACCCCATTTCCTCCTCTGCCTCCCCCCACCCCAGTCTGTGTTTGGACACTTCCCTCTTACCACTCTTAGTCTGCAGGGTTGGTGTGGGGCTCCAAGGTAGTCATAGGAGCTAAGCCCAGACCTGTAGGCTACAGCGTATGTCCTACCCTAACTGCGGTGACCAGGTCATTGTCTTAGTCCATTCAGTCCCTTGCTACATAGACTATGATACTATACACAGGGTGGCTTATAAACAGCAGAGATTTATTTCTCACAGTTCTTGGGGCTGGAAAGTTCAAGATCAGGGTGCCAGCATGGTTGGGTGAGGACCGTCTTCCATGTTGAAGACTTTGTTTTATCCTCGTATGGCAGATGGGGCAAGGAACTCTCTGAGGTCTCTTTTATAAGAAGATTGTCTTCTTATAATTTGATTTGTAATGGGATTTTCTAATCCCATTCATGAGGGCTCTACCCTCATGACCTAAGCACCTCCCATTGGCCCTACCTCCTGTGAAGGCCCCACCTCCCCTACCATCACAATGGGGGGTTAGGATTTCAACATACAAATTTTGAGGGGGACATGAACATTCAGATGATGGCAGTTATGGTCCCATCCTTGAATTAGTCAGAACCAGTGAGATGCCAGAAGACGTTTGCTGGAATTGTTGGAAGAGAAGTAGGTGTACGTTTTGACTGGCCCTGTTGAGTCCATCTGTCACCTGGGAGGGACCATGGTAGTTAGAAGAGCTCTGAAAGAGATGGAGCCTTGATGATGCCAATTTAGCCCTTAATTCAGATGTGTGTGAAATAAGACTGACCTCTAGATTAAAAAAAAAAAAAATTTCAGTTGGCTTAAAGTGACAGATTTTCTGTCACTTGCAACCAACAAAAACCTAATGGATATAGCCCTGTGATCTTTGGGTCAAAATCACCTCATCCATATTCTCAAAGGTTGCATGACTTTGAAGTGAGCTTACTTGTTTTGTTTTACTTCTTTTGTAGGTGCCACTTGGTCCTTATGTTCTGATCAGTTCTGCAGTTCCAACTGTGTTGTCACTGCTCTTGGTTTTCAACAGCCTTACATAGTTCTTTGAACTTGTGTGGAGGCCATCACTCCAAATTCAGAGATTCATAGCCCACATGCTATGGGAGCCTACAGACCACGTATATGGGGCTAGGGGTACAACTCCTCAGATGAGTTGGGAGGAGCTGTCAGTCATTCATTGATTCCTGGAATTCTTTCATGCTGTGAGTAGGAGGCAGAAGACTCCTGGTCACCTGGACTTCCAGTTCTGGGGTCGAGTTTACCCTTCATGTGTTTCTGATGAGGACAGAACAGTTGTTCTCACAGCAGTTTCCTGCCTGAGCAAATTGTCTGACACAGTCATCATTACCAAAAGCAATCAAGTTCATGGCCCAAATCCCAACTGTCCCCAAACAGGAGCTGTTGTCACTCTGATTTATTTCATGGCTAAACCTTCCAGGAACTGGATTTAGCTATTGTTGAAATGTGGATGCATTTTTTTGTTGTTGTTGAGTTTTGGGGATATTCTTCTTTGATCTGGTTGGCAAAATGAAACCATATGAGCTAAGAGTGTGGGTGGTTTGGGCTTCTAGCTTTGTGTCCTTATGTTCTGCCTCTTTGCACACTTGTATAGATGTGAGACTTCGAAACTGTGCATTGGTGACTGGGCATGAATCTTATAAGTGTCATTTTATGTCTGTAAATCAGTTGTGTGTAATGTGAGTCCAGTGAGAAATTAAAGAGTGTTGTGGTCAAGAGTATGTACTCTGTGCTCCTTATAAGTGATGCCATACCAGAAAGAGAAAAGTCTGAAGTCCACATTCATTCATCTTGT